TAGATAGATAGATAGATAGATGATAGATAGATAGATAGATAGATAGACAGACAGACACAGACAAATAGATGATGGAGAGATAGATAATAAAGATAGAGATGATACATAGAGATGATGATAGATAGACAGACAGAAAGACAAATAGATGTGATAGATATGATAAATGATAGATACAGACATAGATCATAGATGATAAACAGAGAAAGAGACAGACAGACAGATAACATATAAATGATGGAGAAATAGACAGAGACAGAGAGATAATAAATACAGATTGACAAATAGATAGATAGATCCATACAGTAGGTAATAGATGATAAACAGAGACAATAGATACCTAGACAGATAGGCAGGGAGAGACAGATAGATGGATATAGACAGACAGACAGACAGACAGACAAAAGAGGCACCCCGTTACTCCAAATTCAAACCGTCTGCAGTTCTGAGCCCCCCCCCACTCCCTTCGGACTGTTTGAATAACAAAATAATCTGCATTTTGTCCAGAGCCCGGCAGCTCGCTGGCTAGCTTGGAATATATATATATATTTTTTGCAAAACTATCTCTGGCTTGACTTGTTTTGCTTTTTGCAAAAGCTCCATGCCCCGATCAGAGAGTGACGACAAGTTCGGAGTCAGACAAGAGCCAAAACAGCTAGAGTTTCCTGCCTAAGTCGGGGTGCCAAATCAGGAATGTATCTGGGGTATGGGCAGGGGGAGATCTGGGGTGCCACCTAGAGAGATTCGGGTCCGTCATGAGGACTATTCGCATGCCATGCACGGTGTTCATGCTTAAATCTTTGGCCAGAGGCAGGCCCAAGCTCCAGAAATAATCTGAGAGATGCTACAGCTGAGAATATACGAGTTTTTAAAAAGCAGATGTGAAAAAAAGCATGGGAAATGTCAAACCTCCAGGAAGGCCTTCGATTAAAATTATATTCCTCATTAGCAATACCTTGGAAAGCTCTGTTGGATGTTTGGAAAAACAGAATTGATAGATTTGGGGGAGTTTTGCCAATTCCTGAAAGCTTTATGCACCCTGTTTTTTTGTGGGGGGTGGGAAGGAGAATTGCAAGCAGTGTTTTTCCCCGGGGTTTAAAAGCAACAAAGAGCCACGGTGATTAGAAGTTGTCGTTTAGAAAAATAATGATAACATAACATATCCTCGGCAAAGAATATATAGGTCGTAGTATAGAACTAGATGATTGAGAAAAATTATCGACCCAAAATTACAACAGCTTATAAAGAGAACCAGTATAAAATGTTCTATTGTTGGCATTTAGCGCCAGCGAGATTGGCAAAAATGTACCCAAATTGGAAATCAGAGTGCTGGAAATGCAAGCAGAAAGATGAAACGTTCTTTCATATGTGGTGGCAATGCCCCAAAGCCGGAAAACATTGGGCAAAGATACAAAGATGGCTACAGGAGATAACAGATAGAACTTCAACCTGAATTATTCCTAATGGGAATAATTAAAGGGAAATTTAGCAAACAAATCCAACACATCATATTGCATATAATAACAGCAGCGAGGGTAGTTTTTTCTCAGAGTTGGAAATTAGAAAACATACCGCCTGAAGAGAGGTTAATACAAAAAATATTAGAATGTGCCAAGATAGACAAACTTACAACAGAACTAACAGGCAAGGAGGAATCAGAATACTATGTGGTACGGGATAAACGGTATAAGTGATAGAACATAGGAATAAGGATTAATGTATAGAAATAAACGGAAGTATATGTAATATCTGTGACATAATACTGTTAACAATGTAAACAGAGATGTGTAATTTGGAAAAAGAAATAATAATAATAATAATAATAATAATAATAATAATAATAATAATAGTAATAGCAAACATTTTTTGTGACTCGGAGACCCAAGATAAAAGTTTTTAAAAATTCTCACTTAAAAAAAAAAAAGTTAAAGCAATTTTCCCTCAACCTTTTGGAGGAGAGATGAACTTCAACTCCCAGAATTCCCCCCAGGCAGCCAGCTAAATTAAAGCTAAACTGGCTGGGGATTTCTGGGAGATGAAGTCCAACCCTCATCATCCCAAGTTGCCACGGTGGAGGAATTCTTTGTTAAAATATTTAATGGAGCATCGCTTAAAAATAGAAAAAGATTCTTATTTTTAAAAAAAACCTCCTTTCCTTCCCCGAAACATTAACAAGGAATGCCGCTGGATTCAAAAGCACGGAAGCTGTAAAACGCCAACAGTGCCAGCACTAAAAATAATATTAGGATTTCTTTCTTTTATATCCAGTCTACACCCAAAAGCTTTCACGCTGTTAAGAACCTCAGAAAAACAGAATTTTAAAATGTTCTTCAACCCCAAATGGCGGATTCTGTGCACAATTTTTCCACCGTCCTATCGGCGTTCAGAATAACGGAACAACAAGAAACGGACCTCAGAGGTCATCTAGTTCAACCCCTGCCCCCCCCGCTCAAAGAGGAGACCCTATAACAAGTAGCCCTCGACTTGCGGCTAAGAATTGAACCCCAAATCTCCATCGCTAAGTGAAACATTGGTTAACATTCCACTTTACGGCCTTTCTTGCCACAGTTGTTAAGTGAATCTTTGCCATTGCTACATTAATAACACAGTCAGTTGCTAAGTGAATCTGGCTTAATCCCCATCGACTTGGGTCACAAAAGGGGATCACATGACTGACCCCGCGGGATGCTGTGACTGTCATAGAGGAGTCAGTTGCTAAGCATCTGAATTTTGATCATGTCGTTAAATGTGAAAAAACGGTCATAAACGGACACTTTTTTCGGTGCCTTCGAATGGCCACTAAGTGAACTGCTGTTACCTGTAATTTATTTATTTACTTTTTTTAAAAAAATTTTTTTACATATAATAAATCCATTCTATTTCGATCAAGTCGATTAGGTACCTATTTCACGTGCTTACAATTAATAATAATACTCGTCAATATAACAATAGCACATTCCCATATAATATTTCAGAAGCTTCTCTTAATGCTTTATAATTACATCTAGCCCACTTTAATTTTGTTTTATTTTCTAGCCATTGATAAACAAGGCCCATTCCATATAATATTCAGATTCTCCTTTCTCTTTAACTTCTAATGTTAATCTATTCATTTCTGCACGTTCAAATATTTTTTTCCATTACTTTCCCCTCTGTCGGTATCTTGTCACTTTTCCAATTCTGAGCAAATACAATTCTAGCTGCTGTTAAGACATGTATGATTAAGTATGTTTTTTTTTCTTTACTTTAACCTTCAGGGGTTACCTGCCATTTAGGACAGTGGCAGGGTCTCTTCCCACAAGCCAAGCCAATGGGGAAAGCCCGATTCGGTTAACGACCGAGCGACATGCTTCACTTAATGACCGTGGGAAGAAAGGGTGCGCAACTGAAGCAAAACTCACAGAAGAACCGTCTTTTCAAGTTAGCGAGATGAAATTTGGGGGCTCGGAAAATGTGGGCCTTGCTCCGTTGGGCGGCTCTCCACGCCACCCTTAACGGCATTCGGCGCGAATGAACGTTGACGAAACACCAGGGGGAAAAAAAAGAAGAACAAGACACGATGAAAAAAAGACTCTGGAAAGAGTGCAGAGAAGAGCAACCAAGCCATTTGTCTAGAATGGTATAGGGTTTCCTGCCTGGGCAGGGGGGTGGACTAGAAGACCTCCAAGGACCCCTTCTGTTGTTCTGTTGTTCTATTAAATAGAATAAGCTCCGTTGTTCTATTTCTATTATTTCTATTTCTATTATTTTTAGTTCTACTTCTATTAAGGAGAGAAACAGCCTAGAACGAAGGAGGGATTTTCCTAACATTGAGAAGAATTCACCAGTGGAACGACTTGCCACCAGAACTGGAAGTTTTTAAGAAGAGATTGGACCACCATTTGTCTGAACCATTTGCAGGTCATCCTTAACAGTTCACTCAGTGACCACCCAAAGTTGCAACGGTGCCGAAAAGAAAGCGACGTATGACCGTGTTTCACAGTTACGACCTTTTGTAGCACCCCTGTGGTCATGGGATCAACATTCTTGGCAACGGACTCATATTTATGACCGTTGCAGTGTCCTGGAGTCATGTAATCTCCTGACAAGCAAAGTCAATGGGGAAGCCAGATTCACTTAACAACCGGGTTACTAATTTAAGAACTGCATTGATTCAATTAACAACTCTAGCACGGAAGGACATAAAATAGGGCAAACTCACTGAACAAACGTCTCCCCGAACAACCAAAATTTTGGTTGGTCCATTATGGCTGTAAGTCAAGAACTACCTATATGAGGTTTCCTGATTAAGCAGGGGGTGGGACTAGAGGACCTCTAAGGTCCCTTCCAACTGTCAATTCTC